TTTAGTGTGTCCCGCGCGCTCATATGACCTTATGCAGTTGCGAGCGCCGTAAAACACTTACAAAAACAAAACAACAAATAATTCTTATTCTTCTTCTTCTAATTCTGCTGGGGTAACCCCTTGAGGACGCAGCGGACAAATGTGTGTCACGATGCGGTGGAATCAGGCGCTCGTCAATATTTGGGCATATGGAGTTATTGCTATCATCTTAAAGATTGTTTATTTGCTTTGCTTTCTATGATTAATCTTGAATAGAAGTCGAGATATTTGCTATTGAAGAAGGTGGTAGTCACTTTGTTTCAGGGGTAAAATTAGAGAGAAAATGGCCGCCAAAGTTCGGTGACTTCCAAAGATTGAGAGCCCTTGGAAACTGTACTTTTTGTGTTTCTTTGTTCAACGTTTTCTGTAAAAGCCACACAGCAATGTCTTTTTAAATGGGTATAATAGGTGTTGAGCCAAAAAATAAATAATATTCGCTCAAAATTGTCAAATGGAAAGAAAAATGCCGGTTCCCTCGAACTCATTATTTATTTGACAAGCGCCTGATTTCACCACAATGCCTCACATTAATGTTTCTGATTTGTGTGTGATTGGTTGAAATGTACCCCAACATGAACTTTGTATGCTGTCTGACATGATATATATCTGTCTGATATTACCTTAAAAGGCGTCGGTGGCCTAGTGGTTAGGCAACCGGGCTCGTAATCGTGATGTTGCGGGTTCGGGGGTTCGAGATGCAGGCCCGACGTTGTGTCCTTGGGAAAGTCACTTTACAATAATTTCCCTCAACTCGCTCACGTGGGGATGGGTACCCGGCAACGCAAGGGTGTTGGTACGCGGCCACAGACAGCGAAAGACCCTGTCAGTATATTATTGTTTTAGCGCCTATAAAAGGCCGCTTGCACTGCATGCTTCCCATGAAGTTGAGGTTGATTCAGAATGCTCTCAGGTCTGCTGGGGTAATAGTGTAGATTGTGAAACACACAGAACCTGCTGTTAGTAGGGGATGTGCGCTATACAAATGTTATCTATTATTATTAAAGAGTTAAGGACTGACCGTCAAATATGGGGTCCTTGTTCACATCCACAATGTCTTTAGTTCCCGGTCGGAGCACAGCGGTTGCTTCACTGTCCGGCAGGGTCACTAAGTTCAGTCCCTCTTTGGCCTGGACAGACAGACAGAGGTCAAGTTAGTTCAGACTGCACTAAGCTAGCTCTTAAAGAGTATGCATCTCCTTCAGTTTATGTTATTTAAATGCCAGATGTCTCACGTATACATAGGACAGAGTCTAACTTAATCTGTCTTTGATTTGGGACACGTCGAGACATTAGTCAAACAGAATACTAAAAAAAAGGCG